TTGCTTTCAATCATATATTTAACTATAAATAAAAGATTATAACAAAAAAGTATTAATATGAAGAAAAATGGTATTCTACTTAATGTTTCGCTTAAAGATCGCATTTTTAATAAACAAACAATATTTTAATAAAAAAAAGCTTATTCATTTTTTAGAAAATTTTTTAATACCCATAACATAAGATGATTCAATTATTAGAGAAGTACATTAGTAAATTAAATGCCACTAAAGTTAATTTTACCGATTCAAATATGTTAAAAACATGCGTGAAGGGTATTTTTGTTTCTCATAGAAGAGGATTAAGACGTTTGAGACCAACCCAGTCAATTATAAAAATAAACAATGTAACAGACAGTGAAACAGCTTCTGCTTACATTAATAATGCTATAATGTTTTGTTATAGAAATAAAGATGGTAAGACAATAAGAATTAATGGTTTTATTAGAGCTACTCATGGAAACAAAGGTGCAGTTAGAGCAACATTTGAAAGAAATTTAAACCCTCAGTGGATTGGTAGAGAAGTTTTTATTAAACTTTATAAACATTAATAAAGTATTTTAAAGTTTTTTTTTGCTGTTTAGACTTTTTTTATTAAAATTATTGATTCAATCAAATATAAACATATTAATTAGTGATTTAATTTAAATATAAAAATTTAAAGTATTTAACAGATATTATAGAAATTAAAAATTTTTTTGTTATTTTTAATAACAAACTAAATAAATACAATCATTCTTTAAATATTCAAATAAACATAAAATTTTTAATTGATTTTATTTAAAATTAAATATGTCCAGTTTTATTATTTTTTTGATAAGCTTTTCTTAAATTTTGAGCTTTTATTTGGTTAATTACATTTAATCTCATTTCCATCCTTTGATTTTTCGCAATAATTTCATTGAAATAATTAACTAATGTTTTGAAATTGTATGTTCTCTCTTTTATAAAAACTTTCTTTCTATCAGAAGAATTAGCCAATGATAAGACCTTTTTATTTTCATCTTTAATAAGAGTGGTCTCTTTTGTAGAGGATTCATGTTTATTCATGATAATGACATCATCATTATTAAGATTATTAGAAAGATCTCTATGAGAAGATGGTATAATTTTACCATTCTTTACTCTAACTACTTCATGAGATAAGAGTGTCCATTTATAAGAACTAATTTTCTTTTTTACATTTGAAGATTTTTTGCATGAAGTATATGATTCTATGACTAATCTTATTATTTTATATGAAATACGCATCAATATAAAAACAATAGCGCATATTGTAAATTCAATAAAAGACATGATATAAAAATCTTGTGTTGATGTAAAATCCATACAAAATAAACAAAAGATTTTTTTATACCCAGAAACAAAATAAACAAAGATATTGACATGTTATAATTATTTTAAATAAACTAATTATCTTAATAATATTTTTTATACTATAAATAGAATAGTTTAAAAAACTAAAGATTGATTAATAAATTAGATTTGAAATGAAAATAACTTTAGAAGTAATAAATTATAAAAGATTAAATGAATTTTAAACACTGATCATAATTAATTAAAAATTAATGATTCAGTGAATAAGTTTCTTGATTTGATAAAAAATGATTTAAAATTTTTTAAAGAATTCATTTAGAGATTAAAATTTTATAAAAAGATACTTTAAAAAGATATTAAATAATCATTTTATTTAATAATAAA